TGGGGGGGGGGGGGGGGGGAGTAATGTATGAAAGCATAGTTTTCCTAGGGAGAAGTCTACCTTGAAGGGGCAAATGAAAAGTTCAAAGTTATTCTAATATTTTTGCAAGGATCAGCAGTTAATCTTGAGTAGAGAAGGCATCTTGAAAAATCTGTAAACGGCGAGTTGGTTTTTTCTTTTTTAGATCTAAAAAATGTTACCATTTCATCCATTCATTTGGCTGAAATCTTGAATATACAGTAATGACAAAAGAGAACCATGATTGAGTTGGAAAAATGATATGCTATTGCTAGTAGCAGAAGGTACCATGATTTCATCGTTGTTTTTAAATTCCCTTGCTGGGAGAATATCTTGTGTGGAAAGAAGCCTTATTAACTGTCATAGATAAGTTGATAAGGGAAGCATACTATATTAACATCTGAGCCTGTTGATCTTGTTTGATTTACTAGTTTTGCTGAATCATACTCAGGAGTTAAAAAAAGGAATAATATATCTCGTTTTTTAGTGCATGTATCTTAGTCTTTTCTCCTCGTAATGTCAGATAAGACTCGAGTTACATCACAAAACAAATACATCTTTGGGCCGCAAGGCATCATTTTGAAGTCTTCATCGATGAACTTGACATTCTAGTGTATTGTTTGGTAATGGCAGATGGAAAAAAGACAGTAATATGCACATGCTGTTGTAATATAGTAACCTGGAAAAGTATCTGATTTAGCATCTCTGTTAAATTTTAGATTTTGATTTTGGTGTGATGACGTACATGCATATTGATAGACTACTTGGAATTGGTGCTGAGTATTTGCAGATTTATTAGCTACACTAGCTGCTGATTTTGTCCTGGAATTGTTGTATTGGGGATAATAGTTTTCGATGCAGCTGCCAGTATAAACCGGAATTCTAACCTGGGTTAGCATTCAAAACCATTTGCAGACACATTGTGATCCTTGTAATGGAATGTTTGGTTTGTTGGACCGCAATGTACTTTGGATAGAATAAAATGAGAAAAGGAGGTTAGATTTTTGTCTATTGTATTGTTGAGTATTGTCTAATACAGCATACCAAGTATACTCCCAAGTCTCCAACTGATTGCGAACGGCTTCAGCTAGGGTGGGAAAGAAAGATTACATTTTTACTTTTGTGATAGTTCTTTCTTGGGCAATTTCATTCCACTTATCGCTTGTTTGATAAGGTGACGGTTATAATTTTATTTTATTTTTACTTGTACTTTTGAATTTCAATATTCTAATAGTTTTTTATGAAATAGATTTTGTCACTAATACTTGAAGTAATGAATTTTGTTGCTCCATAATATTGTCACGTTTTACACAATGCTTGTTTTCTACATCACTAAAGAGCTTATTTAGCCCAGATTTTGCTGCTTGTCTCGGGATTAGATTCAGGGCTGAGGTGGCGAGACCTTGCCTTGGATTTGAATTTTAAAAAATTCAGATTGAGAGCTGAGATCACGTCTCCCCTGGATCTAATCCCTATTCCACTTCCCCTGTTTTTACAGCAGAACCCATTTAGGCCATATTTGACAACAATTAAAACGAAATTCATTTTTTTCTTAAATTCATTTTCAGTTACAAATTGAATGGTTTCGCCCTCTGAAACAAGAAGTTTTGTCTTGGAGGGATAATATCAATCACTTGACGTCCATCCAATGGATCTGTTTTGAATATTTCATATCTCCCTTCATATTCTCACACCTTTATATTCTTATAATAAAATATTTTGCATATAAATTCAAAAAAAATTTTTTTACTTTTTAATCACACTTTCTTCAAAAATTCATTTTTTTCCATTAAAATTTACTTTAATGGCAGTCAAATAGGATCTTTGTACTTGCATCTCTCTCTAAAAGGAATCTATGCACTCCTGTTGTAAAATTTTGTTTCGCAAGTGTATGACCCGTAACAAGTAATAGTTGACCTAAGAGTCCGAGTATCGATCCCACAAGGACTATTTTTTAGCACTTAATTTAATCTTTCTTTAACTACTATTTGATGAATATAAATAAAAAACAATGATTAAATGTGATTTTTATTCTAAAGACTTAAAAATGCGATTGGATTCGACGAAAAGTGATTGAGAATTCAAACAATAAATGGACGTTAAGGCGGAACAATTTCACCTATTGGTTACCTTTACTTCATAAATCAAGATTCATAAAACCTAAGGTAGTGTTCGGTCGAATTCTTCTATTGTATTCAACTTACCCCTCTCGAGTTCTCATTGAGCCTATTTAATTAGTTTAATTCCATATCTCTATGCAAATTAAATTTAATTAAACGAGACATTGGTTCTAA